AAAAACAAAAAAAAAACAACTTTCTTTCAAAACTGCATACTTTAACATTTCTATAGATGTAGAGGCTCCTGATACAGGGACAGACCCAGCTGATAGTGATGTTAATGGCATCTGCCTGGATGTTCCTGCTCAGCTGCACATCCGAATCCTCATCTCAGATGCTGGTGTGGTGGAGGGGATTACTCAGCAGGAGATACTTGGCTTAGAGACAAGGTATGATCACATCTTAGAAAAGTGTGACTTACAAAATGTCTATAAAGTTGAAGGTTCACCAAAGAATACAAAGATGCTAATTTTGAATCTGGTTTTTTATTTACAAGTTGGAATTGTTAGCATTATCATATGTATATATGAAATATGTATAAACTATGTTTATAATGGAAAGTTAGTCTCACAAGTACTTATGAAGCTTTGTATAAAAGATTCTGTACGGTATTTTAGGGAGTATAAAAGGCTGTTTATCGCTGAGCATATTTTGAAATCCATGAATGTAATTGGCACACTGATCAAATAATATTGTGCAGGGATTAAAGACATTGGCAGCAGGTAGGCAAGTTCAATCAGGCCTCTCCCACTAATGAGAGGGTGACATTGGGCAATTACTTAACCTCTTCTGAGCTGTAGTCTCCTCATCTGTAAAATGGTGATAATACCTTTATGTACCATGCCTCTATAAGTTTTAAGTGCCAGAGTCCTAGTTCACAGTGACTTAAGCAAAAGGGGGTATTTATCGGTTCAAGTTCAGAAAAATTCACTTACAGCTAATTTATGGTTCATGGATCTGATGTAGTCAGAGATCTTTTTCTTGTCATCTCGTAGCTCCTCCTCCCTCTGGGTTGGGTTAATTTTCAGGGAGGTTCTCCTGATGAGATGGCAAAGGGGAACACCAGCAATTCTAGGCTTATATCACTTTAGCAAATCCAGTGGAGAGAGCACATCTCTAGCCTCATCTTTCTCATAAAGGGTCTGGGCAGACTTTTATTGGTTCAGTTTGGGTCATGTGCTCCTTTCTGAAGCAATCACTATGGCTGGGGCCATAGACAGCCCTCACTGACTAGGCTTAAGTGACAGGCCTACTGCTAGATTCAGGCTAGTCCTTTCTGGTCCACTGAACTCAGAGCCAGGAGTGATGGTTTTCCAGTGGAGAACTGGGATGCCTTTACCAGAAGACAAGAGAAGGGATGTTGGGTAGGCAGAAATAACCAATATTAACCACCAAACTCACCTTGGTAGTACTATTTGGAGGATTACATGAGCTAGAGTGTAGCCTAGCTCTGTGCCTCAAACTGGAAAGCCCTCAGTAAATGGTTAGTTGTTGTTATTATATTGTTTGAGACAAACAAGTGATGAAGCAAGTTATGCTTAATAGCACCTGATTGGCATCATACTGGCAATTGTAGCTGGGTGGTAGGTCCAGGAGAGTTTATTATACAATACTCTTCTCTCTCCTTGCATCTGTATGTGAAATTTGACATAATACAAAGAATAAAAAAGCACATGTAGAATTTGAACCTTTTAAAGAGAACCTCAGTTCATATCCTTGATGTTCTTAGTAGACTAGGATGAATGGTGGCTATGTTGCTTGCATAATCTTTTCCTCTAGGATCTCCTCAGTGAACTGGCAGTATCAGTGTGGGCTTACTTGTGAGGATAAGACTGACCTTTTCCCCATCAGTGCATCAGTCCAGTTTATTAAAGTGCCTGCACAGTTACCTCGCCCCCTGACAAGGTAATCAGCTGCTGACCCGATTGACATTATTAAGAAACAGAAAAAATATATATATATATATATATTTTTTTTTTTCTGTTTTTGAGACAGTGCCTCAAGCTGTCCCCCTGGGTAGAGTGCCATGGCATTACAGCTCACAGCAACCTCCAACTCCTGGGCTCAAGCGAG